GTCGCGCTGTGATGACGTCAGGTACGCGGTTTCGTCGAGCGCGCTTTAGTCGACCGCGGTTTTGTGGTGGAACCGTCCTAGGGCAGTAACTATATTGAATTCTACTGTATAGTGCAATATTAATACAATATTGGTTTTCAATTCAATTGTATTGAATGTGAAGGATGTGTGTTTGTGTTTTATTTTTATAATTATAATGTACACTGAATATGGCATTTAATTTTGTTGCATGAGGTGTACAATAACAATAAAATAAACTAACAAATCTTGACAATCCAGGAGTAATATTGGAGATGCTCCTTATCTAGACCATATTGGGAGTGGGAAAAATACCATGATGGAGAGACATAATGAAAGAGGGAAAAATCATTTCTCCTTTGGGTCTCTTCCAAATTTCTTACCCTTTCAAACCAACCTTTGCCCTAACTTGCCACCCGTTTTGGTAAATTTTTGCCTTCTCTTCACTTAAACTGTGATCCCTTTGTTCAGTATCCTGGTAGGATATTGCATTCTGTTTATTGTGTTTGTATTCATTTATCTTGTTAAATTGCGGCTCTAACCATTTTTTGTAACTGGGTTATGCTAGAAGAGAAAGAGAAGGAATATTTTGATTTCACCACAGTCAATGGGAAGTCAAAGCTTTGGATTTCTATCAGGATCTGACCCCAGATTGAATTTGACCATCTCTAAATTATTGCCAGATGAAGTCAGACCACTTCCTGAAATTATTTTGAGGCCTAAATGGGTGCCTAACCATATCAAAGGGGACACGGTGGCTCAGTGGCTAAGACGCTGAGCTTGTTGATCAGAAAGGTCAGCAGTTCCGTGGTTCAAATCCCTAGCAATGTGTAACGGAGTGAGCTCCCGTTCCTTGTCCCAGCTTCTGCCAACCTAGCAGTTCGAAAGCATGTAAAAATGCAAGTAGAAGTGGGAAGGTATGCAAGAAGTGGGAAAATGCAAGTTGGTGGGAAGGTAACAGCATTCCGTGTGCCTTTGGCATTTAGTCATGCCGGCCACATGACCACAGAGATATCTTCAGACAGCGCTGGCTTTTCGGCTTAGAAACAGAGATGAGCACCGCCCCCTAGAGTCGGGAATGACTAGCATGTATGTGTGAGGGGAACCTTTACCTTTACCTAACCATATCAATTGCCACTAATCTGATTTCATAAATGTGGTCCAGGAACAACAACAACTTAGTGCATCCATGCGTACCTGAGCACTGCTCCCAGTCGTAACATGTATCATAGCCACAAGCTTCTCTCTTTATGCTGTCCGTGGCAATTCTGAGCCTTTCCTTAGCCCAATTCACATCGGTCCCACTCCGGCAGGGGCCAGAATGCAAGAAATGGAAGGAGTGCTGATCCAAGCATTTTTCAGCCAAATATGGACAGCTGGGCTTTGTAAGTGCTTGTTCAGAAGTGGCATCTAGGACACAGACATCTTCAGAAAAGTGTCTGCCAAATGACCGAAATTGCAAAGCCAAAGTAAACATAAGATTAAGAGAGGGATGAAGCAAACGATTAATAAAGAAACATTTTTTCATTATTGTTTATCACATTTGGAACATCTGTTTGGGAAGTTAGCCAAGTTATTATTTTAAAAAAAATCTGGAGTGATTATCATTATTCATTATCAGATGGACATTAACTTCCAGATTCGGTTTAGAGAAGAAATTTGTAAAAGGTGGCAAAACAAAAGGTATAAAATAGGTTAGCAATAACATATTCACAAGTGAACTCCAGTCTCTTTCTCTGTTTTACTTACATATATTGTATGTTTCGTAGTATAAGAGGCACCTTTTTCCTTCAAAAAAGAGGCTGAAAATCTGGGTGCATCTTATACACTGAATACAGCATTTTTTGCCTCCTGAAACCCCACCCCCTTCACCAAAATGGCAGTGCATAGCTTTTAGGAGCCTTGCTCCTGGGGGCTGAGGAGGGCAGAAATGAGTGAAAAACGGACTGGTTTTTGCTCAATTTTGCCTCCCCCCAGGAGCACTCTGCAAGGCTCCTAAAGGCTATGCATGCCCTTTTTGTGACAAAAAATGGGCCCGTTTTTAAGAAAAATTGGCCATTTCTTTCTCATTCTTTGGGGGGGCACCTCCCATGAATACTTTACAAGCCTCCTGCCTTTTTTGGAAAAAAATGGGCCCATTTTTGCAAAAAACGAGCTGTTTTTGGGAGGTCTGCAGATTGCAAAAACTTGTTTTTTTCAATTTGCCTCTTCAAAACCTTGGTGCATCTTATACTCCGGTGCGTCTTATACTCCAAAAATACGGTACATTCCAATCCTAGCTGCATCACCAAATATAAGGGCATGTTGACATTGTGCAAGATGTTGTGTAACAATATGCAACTTCTCAGGAGGGGGGAGTGGATGCGATTGTGGCATTTTGTGAGATGAGAGAGCTTGGAGGAGACAGAGGAAGCCTGAGAACATACAATATGGGGAAAATGTATCAACCCCTATCAAAGGGAATACATGAAACATCTGGATCCTGCCCATGTGAATCCAGTGTGAAGTGTGGACCCTTCCTCAGCAAAGGACAGAGACAAGTGGATAATGGGCAGGGTTGGGCTTCGGAATTTAGTGACTATGGCCTAGCAAACAGATTTCCTGAGGTTTCCATGGCAACTGTGGCTGGCATCTTCAGATGCAAAGTGGTCTGATACTGAGCAATATATTGTTGACCAATTGGAACACCTGGCTATAAAGGCAGGAGCCCAGTGAGTTTCTGAAGAGGTCAATCACAGTTGCTGGTGAAATGTCAGGAAATATGTTTTTTAGATCAGGGTCACAAAGTCCTGAAGCCAGTGAAATTCAGACAGTTCCGGATGTTAATTTTCTAAGCAGTTCGAAGAACTGGTTGTTGGAATAAATCTCATTTTGTTTTTCCCCCACTTTACAGGGCTGATCTTGTAAGGAAGGCCGGAAGGAAAAATTCTGGTGTTGTTTCTAGCCTAATCTTTATTGCCCTACTTACAGAAACTGCCTCTCCGATCAACCCTGATTACATTGTAACAGCTAAGGCAAAGTGCCCATCAATGTGAGTGACATTGAGTTGGCGACACCCACCCAATCACATGATCACCGAGCCCCGCCTACCAAGCTGGTCATTAGGGCAGAGAATCAGTTGTTACATTATTTGGATCCCACCACTGCCTGAAGCCCAACATGACTTAACTGATGCTGGCTGTGAAAGCCTACACCAGGATGTAAATGGATAATTTTATACAATGTTAGAGTTCTCTCCCAAGAAAGAACTTGCTCTTAGCTAAGATCTATTAAGAAGAAAAACTTAAGGGAACTATCTTGGAGTTGGATACAGGTTGGAGCAGGAACTTCATTTTTTCTTAAGATGATACAAGTCTTAACATCTGGCATGGGAAACCCTTTTCTCTGTATAATTTACCTGCAGTCTTCTCTAGGGTCCATACACACACATTGGGAGTCAAGTTGCTTTTCTCCTGGTTTGCAGTTGCTTTGAGAATGTAGATGAACATCTGCAAGAGAATAAAAAATGCAAAAAAAAAAAAGAAGCATTATCACATAGGAATACTATTAGATATACCATATAAAGGTTTGAGAGACTTTTTCAGGATTGAGTTAAACCACAATGTACAATTG